GCCTGGCACTTTTCTCTAACAATGCGTTGGTCCGTACCATGCTAGTTCGTTGTTTGCTTCGGCCTTATGTTGTTTCTTGGATAACGTGTGGCGAAGGTAAAGAAGGACGGAAGTGAAAGCAAAAACAACGAAAGCACGAAACTTTGAGATCGCACTCGTCGCAGTGGATTTTAGTGCAATACTGCCAACCTATTTGCCGATAGATCTTGGCTCGTCCTTTTGCTTCGTTCATAGAAGCTCATGCAAAGCATATGTATTATCGAGTGTTCTTTCACTAACTATACATCATTGCACAAACTCCAATCGTAATCATTTCTCAATGAATTTTTTTCTGTGGATAGTGTTCATCGGGCACGGATGGAAAAAAAAGGCTTTTCTTGGAGCTTAGCATTGCTTCGACTAATGTGACAACGGTGAGATAACGGGAGTTTTCTTAAAATTACACAATACATACATCATAAGACCACAAAACAAGAAACAGGTCCCTTGCAGCTGGATTGACAATCGACGCAGTGAATCAACCTTTATTGCTTCAAAACGTCGTGCGTGCTAAGGTTACGTTACGTTTTTGTAGCTAACGGCTGGAACTTCTCTTTGTGTAACGTAATTTAGTACAAAAATGAATTGGGCGTAATGTTTAGACAACAGTAAATAAATAATGCAAATTTTAATGACCGGTGAGGGTTTACCAGACCTGTTGTACCGTTATACCGCACATGTGCCGCTGTCTTTCCCTTGAAGAACGAATTGGCTGCTGCGCTTTTGACCTTCCGTTCATTTAATAGTGTGTCATGTGTTTTGGTTCCCATCAGCTCTGGTAACATTCCCGATCATTTGGGGTGATCAGAGCTGAAGCTAATGGGAGTGGGACGACGGGCTGACCTGAAGGGAGATAGGAAATCGCATGAGGGATGTGCCCCCTACTGCTGACCGACATCAGATAGAGATAATTAACTCGAAATTAAAACCAAATACACCTCTCTCTCGTTGTCCACTAAATTCTCCTCCTTTTCGTTCCGTGTGAGCATCGAGCACCTGACAAAGATCAACGTTCTATGGCTTCACTGCACCCCGTACGTTTTCTAATTTTTGTTATTCTGTTTCATCATCGAGCACACACATACATACGCGCATGCCCACTTTTTCGGGAAACACGGACAATCGTTTGATCTTTGTCTCTTGTCCTTGCTGCTTTGACGTCGTCCTCTTCGTCGTCGATTCGCGTAGTTCCAATCGAACCCCATTGCGTTGATCATTTTTCAACCCGCTTTTTTCTTTTCCCATCGCTTGTTCAGACTACGCCTCACCTCTTTATTCGCGCAATGGTTAAACCACAGCAAAGCTATTATAGTAGTGTTTCAGCAAACACCTATCTGGTAACGAAGAAACTAACAAAAAACCGCACTAACGACGCTTCATGTCAATCAAATATTTAGAGCCGTGACGGCAGCTGCTCTTGCAACGGCAGCTTTAAGCACAGTTTACTTTGTTTCCGTTTCTGTGTCACCTTTCGCAAACTCGCACTTGTACTGCCGATCTGGGCATAAAACTTTTGGCCCGTGTAATTTTTTCTACCATATTCCGCTATTTGCCCATGCACTAGGCTGTCCTTTTCCTTGCATCGTTCTCTGCGAGTCTACTTGAGCAAGCGATATAGAAAGACAAAAGCACAAGAATATATCGGAGAATAAAAAAAAACAGGCCTAGCTGTCGACGCCCGTCTCAGACACCCGCGACATCGTATCGCAGATCAGTAGATAAGTGTTTAACGTTTCACTAAGCAAACGATACAGAAATTGTGCTTGTAATTGGGAAAACATGGCCTATTTAACCTAAGCTAATCGTCAATACGATTGTTATGGCCTGCATCTCTGGTGTCGTGCAAAGAATGTACAAGCTTCTCTTCAAGAATGGGCCACGTTCTTAGGTAACATATATATTAGCTATTTCTAATGGTCATACGCAGTGAGTCGTTTCAGAAGTTGCTATTCGCGACTGTTTGGGGATAAGAATCGGTTGCGACCATTTTCAATTATCACAAACATCTTTACGAGGTTATCTCGTTCCAGGATAGCATGTCTCGCTTATTTATAGATTTCAATTTACTTAATCATATGTATTCTGGAATTAGATGGGTAGGAATCAACAGAGCTTAGAGTATCTATAATTTTCATCCCCGTGAATCCCGAAATAATTTATGATGCTGGAACAATTTTGTCACATGATTACTCCTGTGTAGAAGATCCATTTTATGTAGCTCTTACTGCGAGAAATCGGCTATTTTTATTAGTAAGATTTCGTTAACACGGATCTTTTTGACCTAGTTTCCTACGTATGTATTCAATGTGGACTTTGGTTTAGCGAGAAATTTTCGGCTGTCTAAAGGCTTTAACGTCTTTGTTACCTCAGCATATCAATTACCAAAATCATAATTTTTGGACAACTGCTGCCCAGTTACATAGAGAAACTGCAGATATAGTCTGAGTGGGCGGTCCAGGAAATAGAACATTAATTGTCCCAAAATAGGTGATCTATCAGAGCTTCTGTCATCACTCGTTACTGCATCGCACAAAGGTGTGAGCCGTGTATATCTATGCAATGTATCTGGGTAAACAAAGTCCAAACACACTCGGAAACGCGATGACCCTATGTAGTAGAATCGGTGTGCAAACGCCGTGCTTCATTTGATAAGCGCTTACTGCGGCGCGAGACTACGTGTTGAGAAATTCCTGTTGGCGGTCCAGAATCGCTTTTTCCTGTTACTTATCCGTTTGTTGTAATAATAGCATTAAATAGACAGGATGACAACTGATAACTACATGTCCAGAAGAGGCAAGCATTTCGGTCCACTAAACTGAGTTCAGTACTGCTCAGTTTGTCTAGCAGAACAATAGACGAACGTTAGAGAGGTTTAACTACTACCGTTAGCAAATGCTGGAAACAGCCTTCAAGAAGCATGATAAAATAAGGCGTTGCGGCCACGCACAGCTAAGCATAGAGATAATGTTGTTGATTCAGCTGCCCCCACGATTCAGCTACCCCCACCCGTGACGCTCCCTAGACAGGGATGCAGAGCTGGGTTAAAAAGGGGTTGTCGGGCATGTTTTGCCTGCAGCTTCAATTGCCCGGTGCTATTGCTCTTCAATGGCCCTAGTGTTCTTTCTATACCACGCCGCTGTTCCTGCCGTTGCTCTCGTTGTCGTACTAGCTTGACAGCGGCTGCTGCCGATGACTGCGGCTCCTGCATCTCTTGCGTCAGCCACGCGTCGCCTCTGTTCGCTTCCGGATAGAGGTGGAACGAGGGTTGAGGGACGGAGGAAAGACTGCATGGGATACAGAACGTCGGTGATGGATCACCAGCATGAATGAGTGCAGAACCCTGCTGCCGGGCCGAGCTCAGTCTGTTGGCTTCTCTATGCACCTCGATCGGTGCGTAGTGCAACAACGCATACAGGGATAAACCCAGACTCCGTCGCCGTCTCTAGATTCTCGCGGGCTGCAGCCAGTCATCTCGCTCGTAACTCCCTTGCTACTGCTGCCGCAACATTAGCCATCCTTTGGCGTTTCTGATGATAACTGTGATGACTTTCACCGCTGCTGTCGCTGCTTCTGTGGCAGTGATGCTTCTACTGCTTCTCCACTTCTCCCCGAACGCCTGCCCTTTCAGCCCGTTTCTTACATTTTCTTCCCCAATGAGGTCGCCCGTCAAGTCGACTTTGTAAGCAGCTGTGACGCACACAAAGGCGAGAACGACGACAAACCTTCGTCACGACAGCATCCTCAACCCCTTCAAACCACCCCTGTCTTGAAAAGTTCCCAGACACCTCCAAATGAGTAAGCAGCTTCAGATCCGACTGATACGATGACAAAAGTGCTCATGCTGTCATTAAAAGTAACAACAGTTTAAGAAAGGCCGAAGTAGCTACTAAATAATAATTATATGTAGGTGAAGAAGTAAGAGAAAAGGCAAAAAGGTAGAGGTCGAGACTACTTTTGGAGAAGTATAGAAGAAGAAAACACATGCACAGTAAAGACTAAAAGGCGGAAAGATGTACCGCCAAAATTGTGAGGGACACGTAGAGAGAATAAAATGGAAAAGAAATAAAAAAACGAAAGGTGACGCTGAGAAGGCAGCGGCCTTAGAGATAGGATCGAATAATTGCCTGCAACTAAAGAATGTGCCTCTATGAGGAATACATAGGCTTCCAATCATGATCGATGTCTGGCGAACTCGAGAAACGTAATGAGGAAGGATGTAATGACGTTGACAAAATCACAGATCTGCGCGATAATCAGATGACCGATGAAATGCGTTGTCTGCGTTTCGTTCAGACAGACCACGCATGCCAGGTAAAGCTTTAAAGTAGATCTTAAAGGTCACCAAACACATGTCTGTAATAGAACTGCTATCCTTATGTACGACAAGCCTGGCAGACTAAATCAACATTAATTGTTTACTCCTGTTGCTTGTTTAGAGAGCGTTGAGGAAATTTCAGATGAGAGCGATCGGTTTTTTACCCGAATCGAGAAACATGACGAATGCAAAAATCTATGAATCCTTTACTGAACGTACCATGATTTGAGTAAACGTCAGCTACCAAATTGTGTGCCGTAAATTGGACTAAATGATTCGTTAACGCTCCGTACTGCCAGAAACTTGGCGGCACAGAACAGGTAAACGTCAACGTCAACGCTCTTGCTCAATTTCAACTGCTCAACGTCGTCATACCTGTCATCAAAGCGCACGTAATAGTGAATCATGCAAGTCGCTTTGAACATTGGTGAATGTCGAGGAACGCATTGTGACACACCTCTTCAGACACTCGACAAAGAAAACTCTTCTTGGGTCTCAGTTATATCACAGGTGGCTTAGCCCGGCCGATGATGACCGGTATAGTAGCGGTGACTGCGACAGCAGCCACGGCGGCTCTTGCACAATATGCAAATAGCTCTGCACCCTTTGCTATGTTCGCAACCACAGTGGCTCGTGCTGTAATGACGATACGCTTCGCTTTTGCGTTTCGAGGCCCTTTACTTTTAGTCGGCCTGCTGTAGAATATGCGCACTTCTTCTTCATTGGCGCTGGCGACCAGAGCGATCAGATCCATCAGCGTCTGTTTGCCTTCACCCCCACCCCGCCCCGCCCCGCCCCCGTCTTACCCCGTTGCCCGTCGCTGTCTCGCTTCTTTCTTGCTGCTCTGGCTTTCCCATAGCACTTAGGGAGTATGAGCACCGCTGCAGGGGGACTCAAGACGATAAAGGTGAACTGGCTGAAAGCATCACAAAAAGATCTGCTGCCGTTGCTGCTGCTGCTGCTAGAGTACTCAGTGCCCCAGCCGACCCGTATTTTGCAAACGTATCTTGGAGGGTGGCTACAGGTCCAAGTTGGACCATGTCGAACTATCGGCTGTTAGCGAACTATGTGCCCACGGATACCTGAAACTCTGTCAATCGGTCTTTTGGCACAAAGGTACTTCGTAACCTATATACATGGAGTCTTCTTCGCCGTGCGCCACATCCATAACACGAGCACATTTACGTAAGCAGACATATACGACGATACGTGTGGACATCGTGAACTGACTGAGTGTGACCTTAAAAATAATTTTATCGCTATGGAGAAAATAACGTTTCCTCGAACGTTCGCTTTGCAACTGAAGCCTTCTTTGCTATTACTTCGGCGAACTAAAATGAGAAAATAGGTATTCAGTGAAAAAAAAAAAAACGTTTTACGAGAAAATTTTGCTAGAAATTGGGTTCTTACTCGGTGATGAAAGGCCAAAAAAAGTATTTTCGTTTACTTTTACCCATGCATGAAGGTACGCTGCTGGCTGTTGCGGTCGTGCTACCGGACTAAAGCCAAGCAACGACCGAGTTCACTGAGTGAGTGATCATCAGACAAGCCTCGCATGTGTCTGTCTACTATGAGGAATGTTGTAAAATATGAAAATGAACAAAGGAGTAACTTTGCTGCTGGTGCTGCGGAGCCTATGCATACCAGTTTACATAAAGAATCCCGGTTACGAATAGAGTAAGCGAGTAGAAGCGGGAGGGAAGGAGCTGATGGTTGATGGACAAGTCAATGAAGAAATTGACCACGGAAATAGTCGCGCGACGATAACTGATCCTAAACTAGAGGTGTGAGAAAATTAGAAAAATAGCAGAAACGTTCTTGGGATAACAAAGCTAAAAAAAGAAAGCAATTTATTTTTGAAAAAAACGTTGTGACTTGCCCCATGAGACCGAGCGTTAAACCATGAAATACTGTGGATCTACAATAACGTGAAAATTAAAAATGGAACATTAGTAGTATCAAGTTATTTGTTTTTGGTAATTAGTATTTATGTTCGTGTCGAAATGCGCACATTAATTACATGTTTGTTTTTTTTTTCTTGTTGCAGATGATTCGCCACCTGCCAAGGGCTTAACCGTACAATGAGCGATGCATATCAATAGTAGAATGCGCGGAACGAAAGGAAAAGTATTTGTATTATTATTATTATTATGTATATTCATGCGACCATGATGAAGCGGACGTTACGATCAAACAAAATTAGATTCGTACGTAAATGTGTACATAGGTCATCCTGCCTAATCATGTGAATATCCGCTCCTTTAGAGAGAATGGAAAAACCTTCTGAAGTAACGATTTTTTAGAAACGATTTGTGCCTGCAGGTTACTGGGAGGTATTGAGTTGATACTAGGCATTGGCTGGCGACCAATGAGAATCATGGCGGGTCAACCGCATCCACCATTGACGTCTTTATCCTTTTAACTGCCCGACTTATTTGCTTTTATACACAAGAGCAGAAAAAAAAACATCAAGTTTATTTGTTGACAAAATAGGTATTCAGTGTCAATAATTAATCATTGACATAAGTTAGCTGAGCCAACTTTTCGAATAATGGCCAACTGGAAAATCCGAAGGCAAACTTCAACATTATGTTCACATTAAAATGAAGTATTTTGCGGCCCGCGGTTGACTTTGTTCGACGTAGTCGAAGGCAAGCTCAACTGAGGTTTTCTTCTGTCCATTATAATAGCACCATTCTTTTCTAGCTTGTCACTGATGTTTGTCCGTGACACGACGAAGAGGAATCCCTTCAAATCTACCTCCGGCCTCTGTAGCGATGCGCGGGTGGGAAACCACATTTCACTGAATAACGCTCGCGTTTGATCTGACCAATGGATCCCTACCCAGCCACTGCGTTCCGCTTTTGCTACTCATAGAATCTCATGTAATCTTGTAGATCTCATACGAATATAGGTGTTTGACAGCTCACAAAGGACCGGCCATTAGATGGCGTATTTCACCGGCTTCGCCAGTGTGTAAAATTTTGCGCAATAGAATGCGACGCTGACTGTTGTGCCAATTATGTGTAAGCACACGTTCTGTAAATAGACAAAAAATACAATGGACAAGTAGGCTGCCCAGCCAGATCTGCTGGCGCTCCTTTGCGAGCTCTGTGGAGATAAAATACGCTCTAATATATCCTCATCATCATCGAAAGGGGACTGTTACTGAAACCGCATGCTACTGTCGACAGCTCGCACCACAAAAGTCATCATCTGTTTCAACGAAAAGGAAAACCTCTCGCAAACAAACAAACTAACATAATGTATATTAGACGAGCAAATAACGGATTGAGTATATGAACATACACGAATCAACAGGAGAGAGCGTGTTTGAACGAGGTGCGAGGTTGCAATACGAGGAGCCGACTCAGCATGTCTCGTTGCTGAATAAATGTATTTAATTTAATCGATAACATAACTAATTCAATATAATGGGCCAACTTAATAGCTTACAACTTAGCATATTATTTCTACGATAATTATCATTATATTTATTTGTGATGTCCATACACATACACACTCACAGCACAGGATACGTAGTGATCGTAATACTCATAATAGTAAGTTAAATAATTGATTTAATTTATTAAATTAATAAAGATGTGATCGTCAAAAATATGAAAAAAAAAATTGCTTTTCGTTTTTTAGTTTTATACGTTTCGTATTTTTGAATAAGCAATTTTAAGAAAACCCATTGCAGTTTTAAGAAAACATTTGCAAAATCGACTCTGAGCGATTGATAACAAGCCAATTGGCATCAAATTATACTATTCCTATTATTATGTCCTATTATTTCTATATTATCAAGTTCAATAAGACCAGAACGAAGTGACATGATACAAGACAAAGCTTAATATTTAAGTACCGGCTGTGCATTATTTTTGTAGAATTTTTTTCATGTACACAGTGAAATACACCTCAAGATATTTGGCTAGCTTTTCGTATGATGTATATTTTCGTGATTTTTCGTCAACTCTTAAATCACGATTCATGAATATTACGAACTCGAATAAATTCTAACAAAACTATTTGGGTGGTTCGCCAATAGTAGTCACGGGGCAAGCTTACTAGTAAAAATTCTCACTATAAAATGATAATGGTTTTCTATAATAACGAGAGCAAATGCTCTAGTTCGGTCTGCATATCCAGGTCGTTATTTCCTCTGCTAGCACGATAACAGTTCGTACATCTTAAAAAACAGATCGTATTATAACGGAATACGCTTGCCTACAATCAATCCACCAGATATCTTAGAATCGCGACAACAGAACCGGTGGCGCCATCTGGAGGATTCGCTATGAACCTCAAGAAGCGCGTCGTTCCTTTCGCAGACGACACATACAACGCGTCACTCGTCACTAAAGCTTTGACAAATTGCTCACAATGCAACAACTAAACTTGATCGATATTATGCAGAAGTAACGAAATCATAGAATGACAGAGCGACATTATTTGTCTTGATAAGAACTAGGAAGCCACAGTCGTTGCTTGGGCGTCAAGCTACTAGTACTAGCACGTAGGGAACATTGTTCGGCATCTGAAGCAATGTTTAACGGCTGTAGCGGACGTACGGTTCGAAATATTTTTGTCTTTATTGTAACAAATTAAGATAGCGTATTCGCTCTGTGGCTAGACTTGTGCATATAAATCGGTCATGATGATGATGATCATTGTGATTCACTGCAGGGTTGTCGAGTTTAAAGTAGATTTGAACCTCCGTAGATGTGAGCAGTAGCCGCTATTTATTTTTCGTAGTTTGAACTTGCCTCATCATTGAACTTCAGCTCTAATTTCTCATTACCATAGTCCGCCATGGATTTGTGTCGTGTGCCTTTATGGCATAAGCGGAGCTTTTAATAAATATCCGTGACATTTCCAAAAATATGTCAAGGCTATAGACAAACATATAATTTACAACACTGCGAGCTAGAGAGAGTCGTATTTCGATGTGTATTCAATTGAGATACAAGCAGAAATCGGCTTATTTTTGTTTCAGTCGAAACATCCTGATAACGATGACTACGGTAACTAATTTTTACCTTTCCTGTTCCAAATGTCTGCGGTTTTCATCCTGCGCATGTGAAGTTTGTGGCTGGGCCGTCCATTTCATTGCCCTTATCATTATTGGCCGTTGTTAAGTAACATGATCCAGCTCATATGCAATAATCAGTGTTTTTTTTTTTTTTTTCGAAAATTTTTTTCCCTTCTTCCCTAATAATAATAATAATTCAAAATTCGTGAACTTGAACTGTTGCTCACTGTCTGTAGCGACCTCTTTTCATTATAATTTTACATAGTATGTCGATCTGTAGTCATATATGTACCAGTATATACCGAGTGTATGTCATACCGTATAAATTGTTCAATTTGTTTATAGCCAACCCTACGACTAGCCATCTAAATAACGGGGATGGAGCTAATTGCTCCTTATAATCACTAAAATTAAAACATAATAATAATATTAAGACGAAGTATTTATTCATCTAATAGCAGTATTAGGTACGGGAATGCGGGAATTCAAATTTTCGACCGATCATAAAGAAAGTCACTTTAGCATAGAATGACTAATTTCTGCATATGTGCATTGGCTATAACCGATCAGAAACGCAGCCACTGATGCGAAACACTTTGACGGATAAACCGATTGATGACACGCACGGAATGAAGACTGCAGCAGCTTATTGTCGCCACGGGTGACCAAACCGGACCACTTGCAACGCTACAGCTTGTTGAAATTACGCTTGCTATCTATCTTTCGTTTTATCTGTCTCTTTGGATTTTTATTGCGAAACCTCGATAACATCACTCGACGAGAGAACGTAAATATTTATAGCTGTCCAACTTTTACGTCGGACAATGTCGTCTCAAATGATAAACGACAATCACAAATACCTAAAACGATTCAGGATCATTCGTGGTACGAATATCTCCTCATTTAGATCTTGATAGAAAAGTCATTCGACTGTATTAGATAACACTTACAGCAGCGCTTTTAACCACATGAGACCTTGTGGGTGGTTTAGTGCAGCAGACTAACTACGACAAACATAAATTGATCACTGTTTTACTTCAGTAGAAATAACAACGAATAGTGTGATAACTAGTCTGAGGTCAGTTCTGGCTGCTCAGCTAAAAATGGTTAAAGAAGCAGTTCATATCGGTCTGCCGGCCTACCATCATAAGGGCCATTTATGTCATTCAGTTGCACCGTCGCCTTGCCATCACTTCTAAACAAACGATTTTTCGAAGTTCACAGTCACATAGGCTAAGTAAGCCTTATTTCATTGGTGATCTGTCAGTTATCATTTCTTCGTGGCCTTAGCTTGCTGCCCTCGAGCCACAGCTGCTTAGATGTTGAATGGAGGAATAGGGTATGGTACCGTTATTATTCATCATTTATCAGAAGCAGTTGCTGCGTGATGTTGCATATTACCAGTATTTCTTCTAGCAGGAGACCCGGTTATTCGTGAAAATAGCCATTTTTTGATCTAGTTGCGTTCAACGATATGCTCAGAGAAGTTCTTTTTACACTGTTTCCGTTTTATTCGGTAGATGACTGTCACAATCGAAATAATTTCGTTCGAACAGAAAAATTGTGTCTACACAGTCTCATGAAGAAAGCGACGGCTTCTATTAATTGTGGCGCGATAGCTCATTGGGGCAGTTACCACCTTCGCAGTGGCCTCTCGGTGACCCTCTCTTCGTCTCTATCTGCTGGGGTTTTTGTAGCCCCAAATCCGTTTCTAACCCTAGCTCGGGCTTTAGCAGCCAAATTGTTCCTCCGCACAGTGACTTGCCTCCATACCCGTACCGACTTTCACCACCTAAATAGTTCCTTTCTGTTCCCCTTTCCATGGTTTCCACTGCTTCTCTTCGTCGTGGCCGAGAGTTGTACTAGCGTCAGAACTCTGCGACAGAGGCATGTCTTCCCCTCTCTCGCGGATTTTCTCTTTGCCTTCCCAGCGGTTGTCCATCCCTTTTCCTCCGGCTACCTCTACAACCGACTCCCTTGCCTCCAGCTCCAGCTCTATTCCTTTACCAACTAGCTGGCGACTTCCTGAACGGAACGAAGGGTGGAAACG